CACACACACACACACACACACACACACACACACACACACACACACACTATAAAATATTAGGTTTTACCATCAACTAAAAGCTTCTGTGCAAATTATTACAACCCAGATTTTCTAAAAGATCAAGTAAGAGGATTCTTAGAAGTTATCTGAGCTGAGAATTCGGCTATACATTAGTAGTATCACAATTTTTAAGATAAAATTAGTTAACATACCAATATACTTAGAAAAATACTATTCAAATCTGTTTATGAGATCATTTAATAAAATAATTTAAAATGGCAAATTCTGAAGTATAAAATTCTTATTTCTACGGTCTACATCCTAACACTACTAGTTCCTTCCTTCCACCTTACACAATGTCCACTCTTCTCTAAAGACCTTTCTTTATAATGTTTTAATGTCCCACACTTACTTTTTTAAAAAAATTTTTATTTATTTATTATGTATAGTGTTCTCCTTGCATGTACACCTGCATTCCCGAAGAGAGCACCAGATCTCATAGATGGTTGTGAGCCACCATGTGGTTGCTGGGAATTGAACTCAGGACCTTTGGAAGACCAGGTGATGCTCTTAACCACTGAGGTACACTTACTTTTTTGCTTTTTAAACTACTATTCAAAGTTCAGCTCAAAGGTCCTTTTGCAGGGAAATGTCCCTGTTACAGATCAAGAAAAACATCCTCATACATTTCCTTAGCACATTTGTCCCTCTAACAGGACTCATTATATCTAAACCCTTATTCACCAATTATTAGGAACTCTAAAGACAGGAACCATGATTCTCTGACTCAGCACTACCTAGAAAGAAGACAATTTAAATACCAGTTGATGTGTGAGGCAGGACAGAAAGACAAGAATTTATAGGAGGTGGAGCACCTCATCCCAGAATCCAGCTGAAGCCTCTTACTGAGAAGTCAAACTTTTAGCAAAATAAATGTTTGCTGTGAAGGCTGTGGAGAGATAATATTCCTTTCATATATATAGAGAGACATTTTATGTTAAAATAGCAAGGAACAAGACTAAAGGCCTGAATATATATGATCTTGGGTAGGACTTCATTCCTGCCACAGACATTTTCTGGGAATCTCAAAAATTAAAAATAAATAGATTAATTTTTTTTTTTTTTTTTAAAGATCCATACAGACTCTACCTTGTCAACTTTAATCCTGTCAGGTGCTCCACAGGAACCTCCTTATGGTCATGTTTAGATTCCACTAACAACCCTTTGAAGACAGTACCTTCAAAACCCATTCAAGTGCTACATGTGACTGTTACAAAGATAATGAAGTGCTGCTCTCTGAAAACCCCACACCAGTGCTCTTGGGTACGCCTCACTTCCTAAGACCTTCATTTTCTCAACCTATAGGACTAAAATCTATATTAAAACATGTTGCGAGGGGCTGGAGAGATGACTCAGAGGTTCAGAGCACTGGCTGCTCTTCCAGAGACCCTGAGTTCAATTCACATGGTGGCTCACAACCATCTATGATGAGATCTGGTGCCCTCTTCTGGCGTACAGGCACACATGCTGGCAGAACACTATATTTAAAGAAAACAAAAAAAAGAAACTTTTAATTAATTAAAAACAAAACATGCTGCTGAAGCTGGGCAGTGGTGGTACATTCCTTTAATCCCAACCCTCAGGAGGCATAGGCAAATGGATCTCTCTGAGTTCCAGGCCATAGAGGAAGTTCCAGGATACCAAAAGCTACACAGAGAAACCCTGTCTAGGGGAAAAAGTGTTGCAGATTGTGGTAGTGCACTCTTTAATCCTAGTTCTCAGGAAGCAAGGCAGGCCACTCTCCGAGTTGAGGCCACCCTGTTCCATACAGCTATATACACACTGTCTGAAAGACTTTCAGAGGGCAAGAGAGATGACTCAGTAGGTAAAGGAACTTGCCACCAATACTGACAATCTGAGTTTAACCCCAGATTCCATATGGTAGGAGAAAACTGATTCCTGAAAGTTGTCCCCTGACCTCCATATGTGTACTAAGGCATGTGTACTCATGTGTACAATATAAATTCTAATAAATGTGAAATAATTTTCAAAAATATCTTTGGGGGCTGAAAAGAAAGCTTGGTAAGCAAGCATGAGGACTTTAGTTCAGCTCCCAACAACCGTCAAAAATTGGACATGGTTGAGCACACCAATGGAGACAGGAAGGTTAAGGCTTCCTGGCCTGCAGCCTAGCTCCAAGTTAAATGAGACACCATAATTCCAAGAAATGAGGTAGATAAAGAGCAAGAACCCAAAGTCTTCCCATGGCCTCAGTACACGTACATTCATAACCTTACACACAAACTCGCACGTGCACACGCACATACGTAGTCTTTTAATAAATCCCAACTGTGCTTGACACTAATTGTCCTGAAATTCCTTTCTGAGTTAAAGCTTGACAGATGTCCCTAAAAGATTAAGGAAACTCCTCAGGCTTCTGCAAGTGGCAGTATCAAGCTCTCTCTGCCTTACCTCTGCTGCTGCTGCTGCTGATGATGATGACGATGATGACGCAAAGATAGACTAACTGTACCTGACAGTTTAATTTTATGAATCAATTTTCTTTGGCATGATCAAACTGGTTCCTAGAAGGTTCCTTCTAACCACTCGAGATAAGGAAGCTAATCACAGCTTTCACTTCAGTTCCTTCTAACAGACTCAAACCATGCCTATTTATTAGGACTCAAAGCATGCCTCTTTACTAGGTTCCTAAGTTTAAAAACCACCTAGTACACTTTTACAATTCAAAAAGTAAAAACCATTTTTTAAAGGGTTAACTTACCAAAATATTTTTCTTGTGCCGTTTTTCTTTTATATGTTTATGTGCTCCTTGGATGTTTTCAATGTGAATTAAGCAAAGTTTGCATAGATAACGGCAATTGGTATATTCTGGTGAACGCTGAAGAAACAAGTTTGAAAACACACTTTTTCAGTAAACAAGCAAATGACAGTCTATGTAAGTGAACAATTTTATTATATACTGTAACAAACCAGACAGGCACAGAGTGGCTGCTGATATAGCTCAGTGGTACAACACATGCCCAGCATGTGGGAACTCGTAGATTAGACAGCCACTAACTGCAAGAAAGAAAACAGGTAAGCACTGCAAGAACATGTGCTTTAGTGAGTGACCAGGACTTACACACTCCACAGATAGCAAGCTTTTCAAAATGGCCATCACAGGAATTAAGTACTAATTCCAACCTGTGTTATGAAAACGCTAGATAGGCTGACTACTCATTCAATATCATCTTGCTTCTTAAATCTTATTCCAATGTTGTCCCCAAAACCAAGTCCAAACTTTAACTCTTGGTCTTTCTGACTACTCTAAAAAAATAAAACGTACCCTTATAGTGAGATTTCAAATGAATGGATCAGCACTACTGAAGACAATTTCAAAGGCTGAGCTTTGAAAATGCTCCAATCAATCACAGCATCATGAAAATAAACAGATAATCTCTTGAGGTAACCACTCTGAAGGAACAACAATTTGGGCAAGTTAAAATACAAGTCATAGTACTTCACTCATAATTTTGTTTTCTCAAATTAATAAAACAGTAACTATAATAATTATTAAGTGCTTGCTGGGAACCAGATACTTTGCTAGATGCTGCATACAAAATTGTCATTTTAATTCTTAATAAGCTGGTAAAATTACTAGTATTTTCAGTTAATGGACATGAAAGACATGGAGCTTAAGACATCACATGGATCTGATAGTACTGAGGACATAACTTCACTTCATACATATCTGAATCCAAAGTCAACATTTTTTACAATAAAAATAACAAATATAACAAAATACATACACAGATTAAGTAAAAAGAAAACTTTAAAATGCTGATTTTTAAAGCACTACTTCTAATGCCTTACACTAAAACTTTAATAATACTTAGTATTTTATTTCAGATTAATCTTCAATATTCAGTGCAACTCCTGACCTTAAGGGTTCTCTCATCTGGGAACATATATTCTGTTTTAAAGGATTGTATTCATTCATATTTCGTGTGTGAGCAATTTGCTTACACGTATTTCAGCGCAGCACATGTGTGCAGCGGCCCCAGAAGAGTGTCCAGATCCTCCAGAGCTAGAGTTACAGGAAGCTGTGAGCCATAATGTGAATGCTAGGAACTCAGCTCAGGTCCTCTGTAAGAAAGGCAAGTACTCTTAAACCCTGAGTCAGCTCTCCAGCCTCAATAAATGGTATTCTTTAAATAAGAAACCTGCATCAGATTTAGCAACAAACCTACCATAGACTACCAAAAACAAACTCAACATTTATAAAGTACTATTAACTTTTAACACTGTCAGAGTTCTCCATTATACTGACAAAAAATTTAAATCTCAAGTATTAAATTCTTTCCCAGAGACAACAAGCAAATAAATATATAGCTCTAATCTGCATTTTAGAAGAACCATTTGTTTTCTAAGAACAGGAAAGACCCATTCATAGTCAGTCATTAGCATACTGCAATAATCCAGAAAGGAGGTAGCAAAAGCGGCAGAGCAGTTAACAGAAGCTGAATTTAGGGACTGAAAATATTCATACTTAACACCTATAAAATCAAGAGCACTGATGAGGTCACTTAGGCAGTCATGAAATCTGATATATAAAATGGTAGCAGATGAAGCGTGTAGGTTAGTGGAGCAGGGAGGAACCCAACTTCCTGTAACTCCGAGCGAGAAGACAGAATGCTAGGATGGTATTTCACCTGACGGCATATCACAGAGGCCTATAGAAATGTCTATATTTGTGTAACAATTAAAAAACTATTTTACCTGGCTTTACATAGCACCTGCTCTATACTAGATTTCATACCAAAAACTTCACTTGCATTATCCTAGCCAACCCAACAGTTCCATGGTCTAGGTGTATGTATACACGTGTGCACACGCGTGTGTATTTGGACATGTGTGGGCCAGAGCATGTGTAGAAGTTGGAAGACAACCACAGCTGTCATTCCTCACCTTCTACCTTGCTTGAAGGAGGGTCTCATGTCTACTGAGGGGGCTGACTTGTGAGCTGGGTGTCTTACTGTTCTCATCAGCTGTCAACACAGACATTACCACATCTGGTTTTATGTGGACTTAGCAGACCTAAACTCCAAACCTTAGGCTAGTGTGCTAATCACTTTATCCACTGAGCCATCGTCCTGACCCTAAGAAGGTTTTATTTTTTACCGCCTTCATTTTACTGATGAAGAAACTAAGGGATGAGAAAAGGTTAAGTAGGAGGCTAAAGAGATGGCTCACAGGTTAAGAGCACTTGGCTGCTCTTACAGAAGACCCAAGTTTGATTCCCAACACCCACATGACGGCTTACACTGTCTTTTTTAACTTCAATCCCTGAAAGTATACCATCTTCCAGTGTCTTGCAGGCACCAGGCCCCGACATGATGCAGACACACACATGCCAGCAAAACACCTGTACACATTAAGTAAAAAGAAAAGATGGAAAAAAATATTTTAAAAAAGGGTTAAATAGATATTGTTACCTACCAGTAAAGTGACAGTGTTAAATCTGGTCGCTGCAAAATTCAAATGCTTTATAATATGCACACTAAACTCTAATTATGGACCAACTGCTACATAGTAATAAAATATGGGACAAAAGTACTCACAAGGATTTCTTTCATTAATCTAGGTATTTTGTTTTTCTAAACTATATAAAATCATACTGTTACCTTCATTCCTTTCTTATTGAATAATGACCTACTACTTCTTTGTATACTTATATATAAACATCTTAAATGTGTATTTCTCTGTAGTTTGATTTGTGATGTTTCAACATCTAGTAGGTTTTTGATGTTTTTTTTGCTAACAGCTATGGAATGTGTTTCTGTTACAGTAGCTTTTATTCACCTGAGGTAACTATCATCTCTGAGGCTCACTGCCTCCATCTGCTAACCCAGGCCTAGTCCTGGAAGCTTCTAGCCTCTGTACAATCTAGCCTAGGCCTAGAATGTTTTCAGTCTCTGAGACTTACTGCTGAATAAGCTCACCCTTTCTAGTTCTTAACTCCAGGCTCCTTGGTTCAACTCAGCTGTTTTGGCTCAAAATCCTCTCTAAGCTGACTGATTCAAATTGGTTCCTCTCAGTTTCTCACTGAATTGCTCTGCTTGGCCTCAAACTAACCCTAGCAATCTGTTCTAATCTTCTGGCTCCTTCTCACTCTCTGGCTAGTCCTGTCTTTGCCTGTGTCTAGCTTGTTTTCCCTTCAACCCGTCTCTGTAAAGCTCTCCTGGTAAAACTGCCTCTGAATTCCACAAACTGCCATGAACTGCCATGAACTCAACTCCACTGCACTGCACTGCCTCTCAACCCACTCTCAAGTGAATTCCCTAAACAGCATTGAACTATATAGAACTCACAGATCTGCATGCCTGTCTCCTGAGTGCTGGGATTTAAGGCATGTTCCACCAAGCCTAGACAGTAAGCTTTTCTTTACCTAAAACTTGCTCATATATATCAGGCTGGCCTTGAACTCAGAGATCCACTTTCCTGTCTCCTGGATTAAAGGTGTGCCTGTATTCCAGCCAGATCACTCAGACCTAGAATTGGATGTGATCTCTTGCCATAGCAGCTATGTTTCCAGGTTAAGAAATTAATTAATTAGCACTCAGACACAAAACACTAACAGAACAGATTCTTATTTCTAATATTCACAAGGAGAAAAAATTTTAGCAAACTGTGTAGTAGTATTTAATAACTTGTTTTCAACAATCTAAACAGCTGATTAACTTTTGGAGGGACTGAACCTATGACCTTTTGTTTACTAGGCAAATGCTTTGCTAATGAACTACATTTCCAGCTATACTTTTAACTTCTAGTAAAAACAAGATGCAAATGTTAATCAATATATACCCAATGTCCAGCACAATTGGTGGCATGTAACAAGCACTCCATATTTACTAAATAAGAAAATAAATCAGTCAACAACTTATTTTATATCAACCAAAACAGTATTTTAGTAAATATTTTAAGCTTTGAAAGACAGTGAACATAGGGACTGAAGAGATGGGTCAGTAGTTAGTATTAATAGTGTGTACTGCTCTTGCAGAAGACCTAAGTTCAGCTCCCAGAATCCATATTAGGTATCTCACAACCACATGTAACTCCAGCTCCATCTGGTGCCCTCTTCTGGCCTCCAAGGGTACCTGCACTCATGCACATATTCCCACAGATTATATACACATTAGAAATTTAGTAAGTAGGAAGGCATGGTCATTCATTCATATAATCACAACAGTCAGGAGCCTCTGAGGCAAGAGCACTGCTACATAAGGTCCAGCCTGGGCTATAGTCATAGAATAAATAGGGAATGGAGGAGGAAGAAGAAGCAAAGAAAAGGGAAAAGCAGAAATAAGGAAGGAAAAATAAAAAGCAAGGAAAGGGGGGGGAAGAAAACAGTACATATTTTAAGCAGGCCATATGGTCTCACTGGTACCCAGTCAATGTTGTCATCACAGCATTGATGCATAGACAACATATAAAGAAAATGAGCATGGTTGTACCCCAGTAAATGTTTACAAAAAAGGGAGTAATAAGTACCCTGCCATATTCAAACAAAACAAGGGGGATAAACCATAGTTTGTTACTGCCTACAATAAATAAATGCCAACTTATGCCAGGCATAATGACACACTTTTAATCTCAGCACTCAGGAGTCAGAGGCAAGATCTCTGAACTTGTAGCTTACCTGATCTACACAGTGAGTTCCAGAGTAGCCAAGACTACATAATAAGACTGTCTCAAAAAAAAAAAAAAAGGGCGGGGATTATAAGTGTATTTGCTGAATAGGGATGGGTGCCTATGAGACATGAAATATTGCTAACACTCTGGAGAAAGTTATGAAGCACCTGCTTCTCCCTCAATAACTAACATGACATAGCATACTTTTTCAAGTCGGAAGATGTGATCTCTTTCCAGGCGTTCTTCTGCTTGCTTCAAGCCTAGCCTCTGCTCAGGTGTCAAAGCAGATTCATCTATCACCGTGGCATTTTCTAAATAGTCCATCTCAGAAGAATTTTCTTTGTTAGATTCTTCACTCTTCATTTTACCTAAAAAGAAGAAATTAATTAGTTACAATCAGTAACTCAGTTATCATTAAAAATTATTAATTTAAAAAATAAACATTAATTATGTGGGGGAGGATTCTTTCCTTACAAGTTACTTGGCTGCCCAAGTTGTTGGAACATGTTAAAAATATAGATAAAGTATATGCTTGGTGAGTTCATGAGATGGCTGGAATGGCTTAGTGAGTAAGAATAGTCGCCTCCAAGTCTCATGTCCTGAGGTCAATCCTCAGGGCTCAGACGGAAGAAAATATACTCCTTCCGTTTGTCATCTCATCTCCACATGTGCCTTGCACATACCCACACATAAAACAAGCGAATAAATGTAACCTTTCTAAAAAGCAGTGTGAAGACACAGATGGCTTAGCACTTATGTGTATTGGTGGCAGGCAGGCATGACAGCACAACCCTTGAATGTCAGCACTGGGTCGGCAGAGGCAGGCAGATCTCTCTGAGTTCCGTGAGTCCCCGAACAGCCAAGGCAAAACCTTGGGGTGGGGGGCAGCACTGGCTGTTTTTCACGGCTCTATTTCCAGCACCTACATGAAGCTTATACCCATCTGTAACTGTTCTCCCAGGGATCTGATGCCTTCTCCCGACCTCCATTAACAGGCAAAAAAGTGATACACCACACAAAACTACGTGAACAAAATAAGTTTGTTTGTTTGTTTGTTTGTTTGTTTGTTTGTTTTGGTGTGTGTGTGCACATTAAAATACTAAAACTCTAATTTTCTAAACAAAAAAGAAACAGTATTTATAAATGATACATTTCCTACCATAGGACTGCCTAGAACCAGACCCAAACGCTAAATAAAAATGTTATAGGAGGCTAGAGGGACGGCTCAGTGGCTACGAGCACTCGGTCGTCTCACAGAAGACTCAGCTTTAGTTCCAGGCACCTACATGGCAGCTAACAACAACCCGCAACTTCAATCTCAGAGGATGTGACAATCTTCTGGTCTCCAGAGGCAATGCACACGTATGGTGCACAGACACACACAGGCCAAAGATCCATACACAAAAAATAAAACTTTTTTTGAGACAATATCTTTACATAGCCCTGGCTGTCCTAGAACTCACTATGTAGACAAGGCTAGCCTCAAACTAGTTGGTTAAGTCATTGCACTCAGCTCAATAAACCTTTATTTTAATGGTATAAAAACTACAAATATCCAAATGTTACTAGGTAAGATAAGCGCCTCAGTTTTTTTCCTAAGAAAGGGCTTCTTGGGACTAAAGATACGGCCCAGCAGTTAAAAACACTGACTGTTCTTCTAGAGGTCCCAGATTCAATTTCCAGTAGCCATAAGATGGCTCACACTGCCTGTAATTCCAATTCCTGGGGATCTGACACACTCTTCCAGCCTCCACAGGTACCATGTGCTGTACAAACATATATGCATACAAAACGCCCATACATATAAATAAAATGATTTTCATTAAAAACATGTTAAAGAAAGAAAAGGTCTCAGTCAGCTTTGAATGTGGAGATACACCTATTTCTGCCTTATGAGTGCAACAGCGCAGCCCGCATGGTGAGTGGTAAGTAGTAGGCAAAAACAATGCACTACGTGGTGTCTGGAATTATCTCCTACTATTAGGGAAAATTCCAGTGACTTTTATTATGGAACTGTAGAAGTTTATTTCTATAGTTCATGAAAAAGAACAATAAGACAATATAATATAACCCTCTGCTATAAAAAAATATGTATAACTTTCTGTAGCAAGGGCTAGAGAGATGATTCAGCAATTAAGAGCACATACTACTCTTTCAGAAGAACCAGGTTCAAGTCCCAGCACCCATATCAAGTGATTCACAGCCACCTGTAACTTTAGATCCAGGCGATCCAACACCATTGACCTCTAAATGTGTGTGTAAGTAGTACACACACATTTATGTACATAATTTAATTTTTTTTAATTAAAAGAAGAAAAGAGTCCTAAGCCAGTTTGAGTTACACAGTTCAAGGCCAGCCTGCACTACACAATGTCTTAAGAATATCTAAATAGCAGAGAAAGCCAAAGATGTAGCTCAGTGGCAGAACACTTGTCCTTGTACAGTACAGACAGGAAAAGACAGATCCCTACTATCAGTAAGTAAGCGGAGCACGGGTTCACAAACACCCACTGAGCTCGGATGTACACAGCCTTTATCCCAATAGACAGGCAGACAGGTAGGCAGGCAGGCAGGCAGGCAGATAGATGTTTTGCTTATTTCTATTTTCAACTTTTTATAATTAAAGTGGTTCAACCAGAAATGTTTATAGAAGAACATTAACAAAGGAAAATCCTGGCCCAAATGGTACTTGTGAAAAACACTGTGTATTTATACTCACTCAAGTCATCTGATGTGTCTTCAATCCCTGAAGCACTGTCATCAGAATCACCAATGTTCTCTGTCTGTGTCTGCTGCTTCTGAGAATGGGCTACGTTTTCCACAGTCGATTCTTCTCCCCGTAGAGCTTCACTTCTCCTTTTGTCCACAGAAACAAAGGAGCCTGTAAGTTTTTTCCCAGTCTGTTGTGAGTCTGTCTGTTTCATGTTTTCTTTCAAGAGTAAACCGGGTGCATTTTCTGGTTCTAAAGGCGAGTTGGGTATCTTTTGTAATTTCATCTGAGAAATGGGTGCATTTTCTTCTTTCCTCTGTGAATTAAGTGCTTTTTCTGTTGTTGCTCCTACTGTAGTACAGGGTGTTTTTACTGGTAAAGTAGGTGACTTTGGTAATTTTTCTGCTTTTGCCTGTAAACTAGGTACCTTTTCTAATTTTGCCTGTGAAGATACCTTCTGGGCTTTCATGGGTGAATTTGGTAACTTTTTCACTTTGCAATGACTTTGATCTCGAAGTACTAACCCCAAATCTTTAGGGCCTGGAACATTGGCAGTATTTACTTTACATGATTTAACTTCTGTTTTTTCTATACAAATATCATTTTGCTTGGTTTTCTTACTACTATTTCTATTCAGAGAGCTGGTCCCAATTTCTGTCACAGACTTATCATTTCTAGGCTTCAAGGTTTGATTAGTTATAATTTTAACTGCTTTGCTTTCTTCACAAATAATATTCTTCTTTGGTTCATGATTTTCACTTTTAGAAGTCTTAGGCTCTTCCATTATTTGAAAATCTGGTTCTTTCCAATTTTGATACTGTAAAATAGCAGATCTCAGGTATATGAACTGCTCCAATCTAGTTTAGGCAAATGAACTGCTCCAATCTAGTTTAGGCAAGCAAACTATAGGATTTAAAAATAAAAATAAAAATCTGTTATTTATTTAACACAATTTAATTATTAGACATTTTTTAAAACTTAAAATTTGTTCTCAAAACTAAAGAAACATTCTTCAGAAAGCTGAATGAAAAAGGCTTAAATCCCCATTCATCAGGAGGCAGAGGCAGCCAGGCTAAATAACTAGTACAAGGCCACTCAAGACTACAGAAGTGAGACTGTCTCAAAAAACAAAACACCCACAAAAACAAACAAAAAAATAACTTCTACAAAAACAAAATTGTTTTATATTACCCAGTAAGAATTTCCACTAATAGAAAAATAAAACCTGAAATAATATGCCTCCATCATTGTAAGGAAGTGGAAAACTGAAGACTTGCGGAATTTCAATCTCTGTGCACTGTAAGGAAAGTTATGGAGTCCTCAGCATTAGTCCTGCACCCACATGACTTCCTACTAAACATGCCACAACCTACTTCAAACATGACAATCACCCAAAGTAAGAAGAAATGTAAATGAATTCAAGTAAATAAACTTTAAAATCTGTTATTATTTATCTGTTAAAAACCACAGAATGAACACCACCAAGTACAAATGCTGCTTAAAACTATGGACTCTGGGGACTAACTATTGGTCTAGAGTCATCAGTTGTAATAAATTTATCACTGTAGTGCCAAGTTTTGGTGGTAGGCTATACACATGGGAGGCCAAGAATTAGGTGGGAACTCTATTTTCTGCTCAGTTTTGCTGTGAACACAAGAAAGTGACAGTAAAAGAGACATTAAAATCAACCAGAGCTTATTTTTTCTCTAAAAAATTTTAACAAAAACAATTATACTGATGAAGAAACATTAAATTTACAAACTATATACAAGGTAAAAAATTGTTACATTCTGTTGAAGCAAATCAGAAATAGCTTATGTACTATATAACAGGAATTGTTTTTAACTGTTTATGAAAAAAAGTCTACCAACAAAATCAAATTCCATGGAATTAAAAGGTATTATCATCTTTGACTTTTTACTGGGTAACATTACTCAATTATAAATCAGAGCAGTCAAGTCTAATCATATATGCACATAAACATATCATATAAACACAAAAGTACTAATCTGAAACAAAACGCTCAGAACATGAACTGTAATATATGTACACACCCAAAAATCAAAAACAAAAAACAAAACAAAACAAAAAACTAGGCTAGGCATGTCTGCATTAAAGCACCTCACCCAACTAGAACTAGAGTTTTAATTCTTATTTGTAGAAACATCCTCTATGTGTTCTGCTTTGATTTCAGCCTAGATTACTAATATCTTCATTTTATTTTTACCGTAAAGTCAAGTTTTCCCTTTAAGAAACTTCACACGTAGAACAGACACAAGAAGCAGTGGAAGAAAGGAAACAGGATGGGAGCCTATTATAAGAGAGTCCTCTAAAAGGCTCCACCCAAGACTGAAGCAGAAACTTTGGGCAAAGCGCAGGGAGTCTTGTGAAAGAAGGGGGAGATAGAAGGACACAGAGGGGACTGGGGCCCCACAAGGAGACCAACAAAGCTTTAAAAAATAAAAAAAGAAAAAAACCATTTCTGAGCCCAGGGGGTCCTGCAGAGACTGATGCAGCAACCAAGGACCATGCATGGAGAGGACCTAGACCCTCTACTCAGATATAACCGATTTGGCAGCTCAGTCTCCATGTGGGTTCCCAAGCAAGGGGAGCAGGAGCTGCCTCTGTCATGAACTCATACTGCCTGCTCTTCAATCACTTGCCCCTGGGGATGCGGCCTTGCCAGGCCACAGAGGAAGAGGACCCAGGCAGTACTGATGAGATCTGATAAGCTAGGGGCAGATGGCAGAGGAGAACAACTCCCCCTTTCAGTGGACTAGGGGAAGGGGATGGGGGGAAGAGGAAGAGAGGGTAGGACTGGGAGGAGTTGATGGAGGGGGGCTTCAATCAGGATATACAATGAATAAACTGTGAAAAAATTAAAATAAAATAATTTAAAAAGGAAACTTCACATGTAATTAATTCACTGTCCACTGAGGAGGTTTACGTTCAAGATTTCTCAAAAAAGCCCTTTCTCAAAGAATTGATATTTGATCCAGTTGTACTAGTAACACCTGTAATTCTTTTATCTCTGCGTGAATCAAGGGACAGACAATAATCACAACTTCAAAGTTCTTTACTAGAGATCTTTGACATCCAAGTTCTTCTAACAATTTACTTTATTTAGGACTGTTTTAGAATGGATCTGCTCCTCATTTACTGACACCTCATACACTTAACAAGAGTAAATTCAGATTATACTCCTTCCTAAAACATCACATCAGGAATACTCTGTAGAATATACCAATACTAACTACACTGAAAGAAACATCCATTCACAGTTAAGACAAGTATCCTCAACCCTAAAACTCACATTCAAGATAAGCCTCATTGTTACCATTACCCTTCTGAGCTGTCATGTTATACTCCTTTTTGTATGTATCAAACTCATGTTCAACAGGGCGTTATTGGTTATAAAAGATGGGTCATTTCGCACCTGTCTTTCAATGCCTTCGTCCACCAGAGGAACAAAAACACCTCAAATGGCTTAGCTGTTAAGAGCACCGTATGCATGGGTGCAGTGGCACACGCCTTTAATGCCATCCCCCTGCAGGCGGATCTCTGGGAGTTCGAGGCGAGCCGGTCTACAAAGAGCTCCAGGACAGCCAAGGCTCCACAGTGCAATCCTGTCTTGGGGGTAGGGAGGAACACACAAAGAGCACTCCTCTTCCAGCAGATCCAGGCTGAATTCCCAGAACCCACATTCTGGCTCACAACTGTCTGTAACTTCAGCTGCAGAAGATCCATCATCCACTCCTGTCCTCTGGGCATACCAGCACACACATGGCTCACATGCATGCATACATACATGCATCCAGTAAAACACTCATACATAGAGAAGAAAAGTAAGTAAATCTTAATATATTCATTATTTGTGTTGGGAGGGGATGACCACACCATAGTATGCAGATAGAGGTCAGAGGACAACTGTCTGGAGTCAATACTTCCTCTTCTTTATGTGGATTCCAGGGATCAAACTCAAATCACCAAGCTTCCATCAAGCACCTTTACCCTCTGAGCCAGTGTATACTAACATCCTTTTTAATATTTTCTGGTAAAATCTACAAAACTTTACAATTATAAAAAATGGCTTTGCTCCTGGGTTTTGTGTTTTTGCATTTTAATAATAAACACATTTTGCTTTTCCTATATTTTTTTTCAAGACAGGGTTTCTCTCTATAGCCTTGGCTGTCCTGGACCCACTTTTAGATCAGGCTGGCCTGGAACTCACAGAGATCCACCTGTCTCTGCCTCCCAGAGTTGCTGGGATTACAGGTGAGCTTTTCCTATTCTTGATGTTCTATACAACTGTTAAAAGGGCTGGAAAGATAACTCAAAGGTTAAGAGAATGTACTGCCCTTACAGAGGACCAAACTACAATTCCCAGCACCTACCAGGTGGCTGACAAGCACCTAAAAATCCAGTGCCAGGGGATCCAAAAGCTCTGGCTTCCATGGGTACCAGCACTCACATGCACACACACACCCAATACACAGACACGCCACAATTTTTTAAGTTGTCTAAATAAATGGCTCTAAGTTCTTATAGAAACTTACATGTTTAATTTTTAAAACAGGAAAATAAGGGCCAATGAGAGGGCTCAGGGGATGCAAGAGTTTGCCTCAAAGTCTTAACAACCTGAATTCACCCCCAGGACTCACATGGTGGAAGATATAAACTACCTCCCCAAGTTATCCTCTGACCTCCACAAACACATGCATGTCCACACACACACAAAGACAGACACATATACAAATGCAAAACAATTAAAAATAGGGAAAATGGGCCATATTTTTTAAAGTTTTACTTTGTTTCACCTAGTAAATATTTTTAAACTTCCTAGTGGTATTCTATTAGCCTTTAATAATTTGTAGACAGTATCTTACTGATGTGAACTGAAATTTCCAGGAAAAAGTCCCACCTGTGTTAAAGATGCTACAAGGCAAATTGAATCAGAACATCTAAGTCTACAGAGAGCAAAAGATCTGACTCTCTTTAATCCTCTAAATAACTACTTGTTGCCCTGCTCTGTATCTGACCTAACAGTCTAATGACTACCAGGAATGGACAAAGAGATGCCAAGCTTCTACCACCTGCAGGCTACAGTATCTTCAGATAGCATCTAAAGCCTATATCAGAGATTGACCTGCTTTATTGTAATCCATCTAACCTGATGTTTCCAACAAAAAGAGAATTAGGAAACAGAGGACTTGAGCAACATTAAATATCAATTAGACCTAAAAGCTGCATTTGGAAGATATTACCCAGCAGCAGAATACAGACATTCTATCCACAATGGATAGACTAAAAAAATTAAACACTCCTGCTGTAGGAAGAAGAAGAGGAACAAGAATGATCAGGTAATGTTATCTTTTTTTTTTTTCTTAGTCATGTTGTGCTAAAAATGAGGACACATGGCTCTGTCAATAATCAGCCATGGAAGAGGAGGAGACCCACTGGGCCTGTCCTTTCCTGATGAACTACTGACACAATTCTAGAAGAAAATAATCCTCTCCAGTTGTGCACCCACTGCTGAGCCAACCAGGCTCCAATGCCTAGCTACAAATCCATGCTCACAAAAAGTAGTTAAACTCAGTGGGTCCCAAAACAAAAAAAAAATATCCACAAAAAAGGATAAGCTTTATATCCTAAGCAGCTTCATGGGTATTTATTGCTACTTTTTACAAGAGGCACTACATTTTCATTTTGGACAGAGCCCTGGAAATCACATAGCATTTATTTTCAGGCAAGCAGATATAAATAAATCTAGAATGAAATGTAACAAACATTATTTGTGAACATTCATTCATAAAAGACAAGTTAAGAGATACGGCTAACCTGGCCTGAGGAGAGGCTAACTGGATAAAGCTTCTACTGCA